CACAATATATATATATATATATATATATATATATACATTTTGTTAAACAAGCCCGATGTCTGTAGGTTTACTTTCTTCTTAGAATTCTTCTCAAGAAGTCGATAAGCCGTCTTAATGTTGTTAGAACAATGGGTAAAAGTTGTAGATAGTGATGAGTTGGCCGACGCGTTTCGAATGCGTTCTGCATCCATTATCAAGGCTGAATGTTGTGTGAATTGTGATTACTGTTGGTGGATATTTATAGGTATGGGTAAGCAGGTAGTGGTATCTAGTTCATGGAAGGCGTTAATTGGTGGAGTGTTGTATTGTGGCTTGGGGTTTCTCGCCAAGAAGTAGCAGTGTGCATGCTGTTCCTGTCGATTGTTTGTTGATTATGGGAGTTTGCTGTAGGATTTTTATTGCTTTGTGTATTTGAAGAGTTGTGAAGTCGTTAAAGTGGCGGTTTACTTTGGTGTTTTGTACTAGGTCCTGACGTGTGAGCTTTTGGTTGTGGATGCGAGCACAATGTTCTTTGATGGCTCCATTTTGTAGGTGCATTGTTAGGCATCTTGACAAGGTTGTGGTAGTCATTCTGATGTAAGAGGCGTTTGCCAGGAGCTCGCAGTCTCCTTTATTACAAATTCCTACCCCCTATATACAAGACTGCCAAAGACCTAAACCACATCATCACTCCATATATGCCTGCCCCACACATGCTAACATCTACAGACGACTTCCTCCACTTACTACATGCCACAAATTCACAGGACTACTCGCCTCCTTGGACGTCGAATCATTATTTACCAATGTACCAGTCCAGGATACGATAGACATAATCTGCGACAACGTTTACAGACACCCGACCATATCTCCACCCAAAATACCTGAAAAAATAATGCGTGAACTTCTACTCACCTATACTATGAAGTCACCTTTTCAACACTTCAGTGGTTCGCTATACCAGCAAGTTGACGGAGTTGACATGGGCTCTCCTCTTGGAGTAACTTTCGCCAATTTTTACATGTGTCACATAGAAAACAAAGTGCTGCAGGACCACCACCCCGCACTGTACTGCAGATACGTCGATGACTGCTTCATCGTTACCAAGGACACTGATGAATTAATGAAGCTCCATCAATTTTCTGGATGTAAATATCGATGCCAACAACAGCACATACGCCACATCTGCCTATCAAAAACCCACTAGCCAGGGAATCTACCTCAACGCTCAAAGTGAATGCCCTCAAAGATACAAAACTGGAACCATCCACACCCTCATCCACCGTAC